GGGGGAGGGGGGAGTGGGAACACACACCCATTAACCCCCCCCCAAAAAAAGAAACCAACACCCCAAAACCAACAACAACCCAAAAAAACATGTACACAAGATTTTTAAATATCACCAAAAAGCCCCTTTTTCATTCCCAGGCTCAGCTGAGCCTGAGGTGACAAAGGGGGGGACACACCTGAGTGACGGGGGGACACACACACCTCGCTCACAGCACCATTGGCTCCTTGGGGTGTGGGGGGGGAGGCAGATTTTGGGGTGAATTTACCCTTTTTTGTGCAGAATGAGCCTTTGTGGGGTCAAAAAGAGGGAGGGAGGACCCCCAGGGGGGGGGCTGGTTGGGGTTTTGGGGGCAGTTGTGGGGATTTTGGGGTTGGTTATAGGGATTTTGGGATCCGTTAGGATTTTGGGACTGGTTAAATGGGGATCTTGGGATCAGTTCTAGGGATTTTGGGGCCAGTTTTGAGGCCAGTTATGGGGATTTTGGGAGTGGTTATATGGGGATTAAGGGACCAGTTGGGATTTTGGGGCCAGTTATGGGGATTTTGGGACCAGTTCGATTTTGGGACTGGTTATGGGAATTTGGGGACTGGTTATGGGGATTTTGGGACCAGTTATAGGGATGCTGGGGCCAGTTGTGGGGATTTTGGGACCAGTTGCAGGTATTTTTGGGACTGGTTATGGGGATTTTGTCACCAGTTGTGAGGATTTTGGGACTGGTTACAGAGATTTTGGGACCAGATGGGACTTTGGGACCAGTTCGATTTTGGCACTGATTATGGGGATTTGGGGACCAGTTGGGATTTTGGGGCCAGTTGTGGTGGTTTTGGGACCAGATACAGGGATTTTGGGACTGGTTAGGGAGATCTTCATACCAGTTACAGGGATTCCGGGGCCAGTTGTGGGGATTTTGGGACTGGTTATGGTTCTTTTGGGACCTTTGGAGTTTGGAGACCATGTAAACATTGGGAAAACACCCCTGGAGGGATGAATCACTCAAGGGGAACATCAACCCACCATCCATCCCTTATTTTTTTGGGTGTGAAACGACAAGAAACATGCAAAGGGGACGAAGGAACCGAAGCCAAAGTCCCCAACCTCCTTCCCCATGGCGAAGCCTCAAGTGGGAAATATTCCATAGGTGCTCCTGAGGTTTGGGGGGTTTGGGGGGGGGGGGGAAGGGAGGTGTGGAACAAAAACTGCCTTCCCTTGGGAAAAATCAAATCCGTTTTTGGGGATAGGTGAGGTTTGATTTCACGAGGATATATTTACAGAGGTGGAAAGGCCCCAGAAAGAGGAAAACCCTCCCTTGTCCCCCCAGGGGGTCGGGATGTGATTTAAGGCTCTGACCGGCAAAAAAAAAGCTCTGTGGGGATGGAAAAACCACCCAAAAATGAGGAAAAAAGAGGATAAAGGGGCCACTTCATGGCACTGCCGGCTTGGGGAGGGGTCTTTCCTTTTTGTTTGCTGACTAAAATTTGGCCAAATCCACCCATTTTGTCCCTTCCCATCAAAGAGAATGGAGGGAGGTTGTCTACAGGTTCAATCCCTTGGGATTTGTGTTGGGAATCTTTGTAGGAGGCAGGTGCAAAGATGCAGGGGGTGGTTACTGCTGGTGGGGCTGCTCATGACCCCAAATTGACCAATATTTATCTTTTTTTGGCTGGAATATGAAAGAAAAAAGCCTGTTCCCAAGCTCTGAGGTGATGGTTCAGCCTCCAGCGGGTTCAGGTTGTTGAATGAAACTAAACCTTCCAGGTTAAAAGGGAACCACGTTCCTCAGCTTTGGGGGAATTTTGCGAGAATAATGGGATTTGGAGTGTAAATGGTGGTTTTGGTTGATCAGGAGGGATCAGGGTTGATCCCTGTCCTGGTCTGAGCCAGGATGAAGCCTGATCCAGCACAGGTAGGGAGGAGGTTGCTAAAGCCTGGCTAATTCTTCACGTTTTTGGCATTTTGACCCAAATATCCCTCTGTTTTCTTCCTTCTGAGGGTCCTGACTGGAGGAGAGGAAGGAGAGTGGCAGGCCAAGGGGATGAGAGGCAGGAAAAAGGCATTGTGTTTGTGTCCAGCAAAGGTCTGCAGTGCTGGAAGATCCCACGGAGGGTATTGCTCTTGTTTTCCTTACGGAACGAAGCATGGAAATACCTGGTGCTCAAACAAAAGTGCCCGCGGGTTCTTTGGTTGGTTCCTACAAAATCACTTTTCCTCCCATCCCACCAGGAAATCCAGAGAGACAAAATCTCTCCAAGCCCTGGCAGATCAACCCCAACCTCCAGAGGATCCAGGATGGCAGAATTCCCTACCTGCTCATCCCAACTCCTCGGCTCGGATGGCAGCGACGCGGGTCCTTCCCTGCCTGGGAAACACCAGTCAGGGAACTGGGCTGTTACTGGGAACTGGTGGGGCAGCACTGGAGGTTTTGCTTGGACTTTTATTGGTTTCTTGCTCCCTAATTCACAGTTTGAACGCCTGTGTGACAGGGAAAGGGCTTGGGGAGGAGAGGGAAGAGGCAGAGGGAGGGAGGGGAGAAGGTGACGGTGGCTGGGGCCGCATTATCTCTTTGCTCGCACAAAGTACAAGGCATTTGTTTTGGGATAATATTTCACGTTTTGTTTCTTGTCCATGAGGCCACCAAATATGATCAACTCCCCTCGGCCTTGAACCACCGTGTGTAAACTGGTTTCGGGTGGTCCCACCACAGAACTGCTGTTGAACACTTTCCATTTGACTCGTCCTTTTTCCTTGGTGTCTTTAATGTCCAGGACGTACATCTGCATGGGTTTGCAGTTCATGCTCTGGTACAAAGGCTTCCCCACGTTGAGGGACTGGGGAGGGTGGTGGCCCAGGCGGCGGGCGATGGGAGGTATGGAATGGCCATCACCTTGGGTAGAGCCCGGACGTGCTGATGAGCCTGTCTCGGAGCTTGGAGACCCTGGAGAAGAAGCCAAGGGTGGGCTCAAGGCTGCAGAAGCTGAGGAACCTTTGGAAGAAAGAGCTTTGACAGCTTCCAGGCTCCTGCGGAGCGCGCCGGGGGACACAGCCCCGGGGAGGGAGCTGGTGCCGTGGGGCGGGGTGTGGGCGCCGTTGGTTTGCTCGGGTGGGTTCCTCACTGTCCTGCCCTCCACAGCCTCCATCTGGCAGATGACGGAGCTGGGTTTTTGTTCCCAGCTCAGCTCGACGGATCCCAACCTCAGGTCCTTCTGCTCGGGCAGGGACCCCCGGCGCGGTGCCAGGGCCAGCCCCGCTTTGGGGTCGTAGCCCTCGGCTGCGGAGGGTGAGACCACCTGCACGGGGCTGCCCAGGGAGCCCCCACTCGGGGCCCCGGGGGACAAACTCCCACCATTGAGCACCGGGGAACTGTCCCCTCTGGCTGGGGAGAGGCTGCCTTCCCGGGATCCCGAAGGGGTTTGTCTCTGTGCTCGGGGTCTCAAGGTGCCCCAGCGGCCGTTGACACAAGGAGCTTCATCCGTGTTCCTGACGGGAGATTGGGAGCGAAATTCCCGCGTCTCGGGAGCCAGGGCGGGGGGGGTGGCGCTGATGGGAGATGGGCGGGAGTTGAGGCTGGGGCTCAGTGGGGCCCTCCCGCTGGGAGCTTGGCTGAAGACCACCACGCACTGTCCCACCTGCAAGAGGAGAAGGGAAGAGGTGACAGATGGCAAAGGTGACCCAGAATTGGGGTGAAAACTGGGGGGTTTTGGAGAATTCTGGGCAGGTAATAAGGGGTAGTGGGTGCATGTGAGACCCAGCAGGGCCGTACCCTGCAGGCAGGGTGGCACCACAGCTCCGGGGCTCCCTGGTCTTCGTTCTCCACCTTGAGGGGCTGCCAGGTCCAGGGGTTCACGTGCATGTGAAGTAACCAGGCATCTTTGAACAGCTAGGAAGAAAATGGGATACATTTAGGAGCCCAGTTTGAGATTCCAGAGCCTCGTTTGAGATTTAGGAGCCCAGTTTGAGATTCCAGAATCCCATTTGAGATTCCAGAGCTGAGATCATCCCATCAGAGGCAGGAATGGTGCTTTGCTGCAGCAGACAGAGGAATAGTGACCCAGATCTGGATCTGACCACCGAGGAGTGACTACACCCTCCTGTGGCCCTTCATCTCCACCTTCTACCCTGCTATAAAATCAGGGCTAATTCTTCCTAGACTCAATTAACCTCAGTGAGCTGCCCTGGCAGTGCCTGGGGTGCTTTTTTCTTAATTAAAACAGCTTCAGCAATAGCTAGAGAGCTTCTCTGGATGATCTAGTGTGTGGGTGCCCAGATTTGCAGGGTAAAATGTCACCCAACTAAGGTGCCTCCCTCTCCCCAGCCCAGCACCCATGGCTCTGGGTCACAGTGTGACCTGTGCAGTCCATGCCCACCTTCCCCTCAGGATACTCACTGCGTTGGGACCACCACAGCCACCAAGGATTAAAATGGTTTCGTTGTCTATCACGATCTGGAGGGGACAAAGAAGAAGGTTTGAGAGCAGGAAGGAGGCAAAGCCACCCTGATGCTTTTAGCAAGGCCTCCAAGAACCAGGCTATGGCCTCTCAGCTGAATCCAGACCTCCCTGAGATGAGGAGTGGAGCTGGGATGAAGAGCTGGTTTTGCTGGGCCTGAGGCAAAGCAGGATGGAGGCTTCACCCCACCTCGTCCCAGACATTCCTCACCAACTAATTCCTCCTCCAGAGAAGAGCAATTACCCTTCCTGAAGCTGAGCCAAACAACAGACTTGACACTCTTTAAATAAGGGAGAAGGTGGCGGGGTTGTCTGGGAGGGCAGGTGTTTGCAGCAGGTTTGTGAGGTGCTGGGTGGGCTGAGAACTGTGACCAATCTGGGCTCCCCAGTTCATGAAGGACAAGGAGCTATTGGAGAGAGTCCATCCCAGGGCACTAAGATGCTGAGGGGACTGGAGCACCTGCCTGTGAGGAAAGGCTGGGAGAGCTGAGGCTCTTCAGCTGGAGAGGAGGAGCCTGAGGGGGGATCTGATCAGTGCTGATCAATATCTACAGGGGGTGTCAGGAGGGGGGGGACCAGACTCTTCTCAGGGGTGTCCAGTGACAGGACAAGGGGCAATGGGCACAAACTGGAGCACAGGAGGTTTAACCTAAGCATAAAAAAATACTTCTTTACTCTGAGGGTACCAGAGCCCTGGGACAGGCTGCCCAGGGAAGTTGTGGAGTCTCCATCCCTGGTGACATTCCAAACCCACCTGGACATGTTCCTGTTGGATCTGCTCTAGGGGATCCTGCTCTAGCAGGGGGTTGGACTGGATGATCTCCAGAGGTCCCTTCCAACCCCCACCACTCTGTGACTGTGATTCCTCTCCCAGTGGATGGAAAGGCTCATTCAAGCACAACCTCTTTTGAGTGCCCTGTGAGGTTGTGATGAACCACTGACCATCCTCTTGGGGACCACAAAGGGAAGACCAGCTGTGATGGAGACACTTGCACTAAGCTGGATGACCTTCACAAGCTTCCTGCCCCAGGCACGCAAGAAAAGGTGCTGCTGGAGCCGTGCTTGGAGCGGGTACAATCCGGAGTGGGTACAATCCAGAGCGGCTCCCACTGAGGATCAGGAGAAAAGAGCAATCCAAAGGGCCTGGAGCCAAACCACCCTGTGATAACAACTTGATTGATCTGAAACGCCCCAGGAAAGGTGGTTGGGTGAGAAGAGCAATTGGTTTTCTAGAAGGGCTGGTTAAGAGCTCTGAGTCACGCGCAAGACGCGGCACCTGCCTGAGCGCTCGGGAGATGAAAAGTGCTCCCTCACCCCACAGAGGGGTAGAGAAAAGAAGGGCCCGTTGGGCAGAGCTTGCCAAGATCACCTGGAAATCAGTTAGCAGCTTCCAGGTGACCTGCTGGGAGCTGCCTGGGAGCTGGGGATGAAGCTGTGTCTGGTTTCTCTCCAGCAGCGTGGGTGTTGGTGCTGGGGATGGAGAGCTCACCTGGGACTGGCCACCTCGGGGGTGAGGGCTGGGCCCTGAGATGTTGGGCTTGGACCATGCCCACTGCTCCAGATCCAGCACCCAGACGTCGTTACTCCTGCAAGGAGGAGACAAGAAGCACTAACAATGCAACCAGGTTCTCTGGGCATGTGAAACACGGGATCAGGGCAGAGTTTTATGGCAGAATTGGTTTTCCCGTGGGCAAAAATCCTCAAGGGGATTTGATGTGAGATGCAAAAGATGAACCAAGGCAGCTTGCAGACCCCAAACCCTGCAGAGATCTCCTTCCAAAACACTCATGAGCTACCCCAGGACCACCACAACATGCTCCTCACTTGCAGGAGCACTTGTCAAACACTCTCACCCCAAACTTACATTTGCCGAGATCCCAGCGAACCCCCAAAAACGATCATTTTGTCTTCAATGACACAGGAGGAGTGTCCTGCCATGGGTGGGGGGCCGTGGGTGGTCACGATGCAGTTCCACCTGGGGGAAGAAGAAAAGAAGACATTCACCATCAGGTTGGAAAGGGAAGCGCCGGATAAATGGGAACCAGGGGTTGGCAAAGTCATGGAGAACATGAGAGAGAGGAAAACCTCGGGGAAAAACCTCCAAAGATCCAAAGAATAACGAAAACTCATTAGAAACACCAAAGTGCTGAACATTTTTAAAGCATGACGAAGTCAGAAGGCCAAGTTGGAGAGGTGGCCCCTTCCAATTAGGGCCATCCCCAATTATTGCCAACGCGGGTTAATTACAGCGTTCGAACGCCACTGCCCAGAAGAGCATGGGATAATTGACCCTTGTGAAGATGAAAAGTCCTCAATGAAAGAGGAGAAGGAACCATGGTCACTTTGATTACAGCATGTGCTCCTTTCTCACACAGCAGCACCGCTGAGAAAGGCTGGGCTGAAACCAGCTCAACTGTGTTTTCAAGGGGAAAGGAAAATTCCTGCCATCTCCGCCATCGCTGCTGGATGCTTTATTAAAAATCCAGGAGCTTCCTGTGGGATCTACTGTAGGTGATCCTGCTCTGGGTAGGGGGTTGGACTAGATGGTCTGCAGAGGTCCCTTCCAACCCCGACCACTCTGTAACTGTGCTGCAGAGAGTTCACTACCATGGTGTAGATACCTGCTTTATCATGTCTCCCTTGAGGGCCAGAGAAGCTTTGGAGCACTGCTAAAAGCAAGACCTTCTGGAGTGAAGGCTTTATTACCTCCAGGAGTTGTGGCTTTATCTCCTCCTTTCCTCAAAGACCTCCCTGCCTTGCAGCCCAATCCATGTGGTGTTTAAAACATTCACATCCAGGTTTCCCCCTGGCTGGATGGGCACACTCAGGGGTTTGGAAGATTTTAGGTATGAGTTGAGAGCTGTATGGAAGCTACCACCACCCAAGAGGCACCAGACAGCCCCTTGCTCAGATCTTTGTTGTGCTCTTTTGGGTTGTTTTTTTGGTTTTTTTTTCATCACAGGCACACCAGGATTAGACAGACTCAGGAAATGAGGATTAGACACACTGGGGAACCCAAGCTTCCCTAGGAGCCAGTCCCAGGTGGGCTCAGAGAGGAGCCCTCCAGCTGCCTTACAGACCTGTTCTTACAGGATCAAAGCCTGGGCTTCCAATCCAGATGTGCTCTTACCAGTTTTTGGAGGGTGAGTAGGTGTGGATCTCATCGAAGAACCTCTCTGGCTGGTGCAGGGGGTAAGGGCTTGGTCGTGTCCACCCACCAAACAGCACCAGCAAGTCTTTGTAGACCACCAGTGTGGCCCCAGCCTTGGGCGAGGGGTAGGAACCTGGGCAGGGAGAGAGGAGGGGAAGGTTAGAAAACCCCTGGGGGGTGGGTTTACACCACAAGAGAGCTCACCTTGGAACAAACCAAACAGAAAACAAGGCAAAATGAAGAGTTTGGAGCCTGGGAAGAAAACGACTGCCCGTTTGTGTGGTGGGAATGAGCAGCAGCCTGGAAGCACATCTCGCGGATGGCAAAACATCTGTCACTCACTGGCAGGAAATTGCTGCCTTTCCAACATATCCCTGCAAATTATTGCTTTAGTGCTGAAGCAAAGCAGTAATTACCCCCAAGTACCCAGGAACTTCTCCCCGAGGAAAAGGGGGAGAACAAATTCCAATGCTAAGGCATCCGGAGTGGGGCGGGTTGCTGAGGTGTTCCCGAGGGGAATCCTGCACCAAATCCCCTTTCTTTGCCATGCACCAAATCCCATTGCTTTGCCATGCAGCAGGATTAAACCCTAAGTACTTTGCTCTGTGAATTAACAGTCACTCCTTGAGTCTGAAGAAAGAGAAGGCTCCAGGGAGACCTTAGAGCACCTTCCAGTGCCTGAAGGGGCTCCAGGAAAGCTGGGGAGGGACTTGGGACAAGGGCAGGGAGGGATGGGATGAGGGGGGTGGATTAAAACTGGAAGAGGGGAGATTTTGGTTGGACATTGGGAGGAAATTCTTTGCTGTGAGGGTGGTGAGAGCCTGGCCCAGGTTGCCCAGGGAAGCTGTGGCTGCCCCATCCCTGGGGGTGTTGAAGGGCAGGTTGGATGGGGCTTGGAGCAGCCTGGGCTGGTGGGAGGTGTCCCTGCCCATGCAGGGGGTTGGATCTAGATGATCTTTAAGGTCCTTCCCAACCCAAACCATCCCATGTTTCTATGCTGTGCTCTGGACTGCCATCCATCCCGATGATTTCCAGCAGCAAAGCTCTGGGCTCACCTCTCAGCCTCCTGCTGCTCCTACACTACCCATCAAGGCTGTGTCAGCACCTTGCTGCTGTTTCTGGCAGCCAGGAAAATCCAAAGCCTCTCCAGAATGCACCCAAGCATCCTCCTGCCTGTGGCCCTCACCAGCACCAGGCAGATTCCTGCACCTCTGCAGTCACCCTTTCAAAATAATCCCAAATCCATCACCCCAAAGCCACGTTGGTGGGACACGGGGGCAGCTGGAGGGCACGTGGCTGCAGAAGCTTTGTCACCCTCTCCAAAAAGGCTGATCCCCCAAAGCCACCTCCCTCACAGGACACTTTGAGGAACGTTTTTAGCAGGTAATGACACGCAGGATGGTGACTATTTTTAAAAAGAAACCAGAGCAGCTATTTTAAGATGCTGCAGCTGAGAAAGGCAATTCCACTGCCATGACTTCCCCATCCCTGGCAGTGTTGAAGGGCAGGTTGGATGGGGCTTGGAGCAACCTGGGCAGGTGGGAGGTGTCCCTGCCCATGCAGGGGGTTGGATCTAGATGATCTTTAAGGTCCTTCCCAACCCAAACCATCCCATGTTTCTATGCTGTGCTCTGGACTGCCATCCATCCCGATGATTTCCAGCAGCAAAGCTCTGGGCTCACCTCTCAGCCTCCTGCTGCTCCTACACTACCCATCAAGGCTGTGTCAGCACCTTGCTGCTGTTTCTGGCAGCCAGGAAAATCCAAAGCCTCTCCAGAATGCACCCAAGCATCCTCCTGCCTGTGGCCCTCACCAGCACCAGGCAGATTCCTGCATCTCTGCAGTCACCCTTTCAAAATAATCCCAAATCCATCACCCCAAAGCCACGTTGGTGGGACACGGGGGCAGCTGGAGGGCACGTGGCTGCAGAAGCTTTGTCACCCTCTCCAAAAAGGCTGATCCCCCAAAGCCACCTCCCTCACAGGACACTTTGAGGAACGTTTTTAGCAGGTAATGACACGCAGGATGGTGACTATTTTTAAAAAGAAACCAGAGCAGCTATTTTAAGATGCTGCAGCTGAGAAAGGCAATTCCACTGCCATGACTTCCAGGTGGTGGGAAGAGCCCAGAACCTGGCCAGACACAGAGGAGGTGGCCACAATGTCCCTTGAGCCTTCTCCAGGGACAAATCACACCTTGATGCTGCTCTCAGGTAGGGAAAAAGGGGATAAAGTCACACAGGAAACAATTATTGTGCTGGGGCACGTGTGTAACGTGGCCAAGGTCTCTTTAAAAGACCAGGGTGCCAGAAGAGGGTCACATTTGGTTACACTTTGTTCCCAAATTCCAGTTTTCCTGGCAAGTTTCATGGCTGTAAGCAATTCATTAATCCACAGCAGCAGGTTTGCAGCTTAAATATTTCCCTGGCAGAGCATAAATTTGCTCTCTCAAGCTTGGCAGGACAACCTAAACTGCTACAAAAATTTTTGACTTGTAGAGAATCATCAGGCTGGGCTTCTCCACTGAGGGTGCTACAAGACACCACGGGGTCAAAAGTGCTGGCTTTATATTGGGTTATTTTAAAACAACAAAAAAAGTTATTTTAAAACAAAAGAGCAGCCTTCCAATACCTGAAGGGGCTCCAGGAAAGCTGGGGAGGGACCTATGACAAGAGATTGTAGTGAAAGGACAAGGGGTGATAGATTAAAACTGGAAGAGGGAGATTGAGGTTGGACATGAGGAGGAAATTCTTTGCTGTGAGGGTGGTGAGAGCCTGGCCCAGGTTGCCCAGGGAAGCTGTGGCTGCCCCATCCCTGGCAATTTTGAAAGGCAGGTTGGATGGGGCTTGGAGCAACCTGGGCTGGTGGGAGGTGTCCCTGCCCATGCAGGGGGGTTGGATCTAGATGGTCTTCAAGGTCCCTTCACACCTACCCATTCTATGATTCTACAAAAATAGGATTAGAGTCATCCCAAGATGGAGAAAGAGCTTGACTCTGTGCTCCAAAAGGTCTGGGATGGTGCAATGAGGAAAGCCACCCTCCTTTGGCTGTAACCTGAAGGTCAACTCCAGCCTCAGACACAGGGATGGTTCCCAAATGAGTCAACACCATGTCAAGAGCCCAGAGCAGAGGCTTGCCCTGGTTCTCCAGGAAGCTTTGCCTGTTCCTGGGTGTTGTACGGGTTGAAACGAGCGGGGTTTCATTCTGCTCTGCAGGAAAATATCTGAATTTTACATGCCAAAAGGAAGGGCTGGGCTCTCAAAGCCTCCTCCAACCAGACAGTTGGAATATCTACAGATGCTCTCAGCAAAAGAGACACATCGTCATACCAGAGAGAGCTCTGGTGATCCCAGTGCCTGAAGGGGCTCCAGGAAAGCTGGGGAGGGAGTTGGGATGAGGGCAGGGAGGGATGGGATGACGGGGGTGGATTAAAACTGGAAGAGGGGAGATTGAGGTTGGACATGAGGAGGAAGTTCTTTGCTGGGAGGGTGGTGAGACCCTGGGTCCCTTCCAAGCCAAACCAGTCTGGGATTCCATGATCTCTTGTTTGAGTGAAACCACCTGGGCAAAAAGCAGCTGAAACCTGCAGAATTCCCAGGGAGAGCTGCTGCTGCCGCCATCCTGGGAAGAACAGCAGCATCTCCAGGGAGGCAGAGCAACACCTGCCCTGCCCAGGGGACAGGGACCCGCAGCCTTTGTGACTTCAGGTCTCAAGTATGTGGAGGAGGAGCACAGGGAAGGGGCAGCAGGGACATCAAAGGGACTTGGCTCATTTCCGTGGGGCCCTTCAGACCTGCCCAGCTATTTGCTCAAAGTCCAGCAGAATTTCAAAGGCTGCAGGAACACACTGGAAGTGGGAGGGGCTTCCTCCTGTGCAACTGAAACAGCTTCTGCTCCTCACCAGGGTCTGAAGGGCCAGCAGAAGAGCATCCTTAGCTAACTGACTGGTTTCCACTGTTCCCTGGGCCTGGGAAGACGAGGAGCAGAGCAGGGATCCTCCTGCCTGGGTTTCCAAGCTCCACTCCCCGATAACTCCATCCAACCCGATATCAGATGATCTTTCCTTGGGGATAAAAATTCAAGCCCGCGGAGGGTGTGACACAATTAACCACTCCTAAACATAGAAAGGCACCATCTCTTCCCAGCTGACGCTGTTTCTTCACCCGGGACGAGCAGCTAAAAGCCAGGCAGGGGTTGTTGCTTTTTAATCCAGTTGATGGATTTTCCTGGCTCGTAAAGCAGTTACATGCTTTGCAAAAGCCCAACAACAAACAAACAAAGCTTCCATGGCTCTTTGGAAGAGAAATACCAGCCTCTGACTGCTTCTGACATGAGCTCTGGTCACTATCTATTTAGGATCTGTCCTTATAAGCATTTTTTAAAGCCCATTTATTCAGGCCTCTCATGCAACCCGAGCAGCTCGTGCTGAGCCCGGTGGCCACAAAAGACAAGCCTGGCTGTGAGGGCACGTGGAACATGAATTTCCAGAGCAGCCTTTACCAGGCACAGCCCCAAGCAACTCCAAAAATGAACAGCAAGTGGGGGTTGAAGTAAAAACAAAGGGGGAGGGTAAAAAACCAATCACCTCACATGATTTGACAGGATCAGCCAGAAAAGGATGGGATGGGATGGGGGTGATTTGGGGCAATATTGTAAAGGAGATGAGGTGGAGAGAGCCAAGGGTTTGCAGCTTCTCAGGGAGAGGTTAAGGTATGGAAGGAGCTTTGGGGTTCTATCAGGGGGATAATTTTTGAGGACTTTTATTACGGCAGACTAAACTTTTCTGGAGATAAATGAGATGGGAGCTACTAATAATATCCAGGGGGAATTATTCCTGGATCTGATGGACTCCTCAAGCTGCCTCAGCTCCAGCCAGTCATGGTGCTCTGAGGAGACATAAGATGAGGCTCTAAGAGACCTTGGAGCACCTTCCAGTGCCTGGAGGAGCTCCAGGAAAGCTGGGGAGGGACTTGGGAGAAGGGCAGGGAGGGATGGGATGAGGAGGATGGATTAAAACTGGGAGAGGGGAGATTGAGGTTGGACATGAGGAGGGAATTCTTTGCTGTGAGGGTGGTGAGAGCCTGGCCCAGGTTGCCCAGGGAAGCTGTGGCTGCCCCATCCCTGGCAGTGTTGAAGGGCAGGTTGGATGGGGCTTGGAGCAGCCTGGGCTGGTGGGAGGTGTCCCTGCCCATGCAGGGGGGTTGGATCTAGATGATCTTTAAGGTCCTTTCCAACCCAAACCATTCCAGTATTCCATGATTCCCTAGGACTCCAGCAAGATGATCACTATCATCACCAGACCATTCAATTCCCATGAAATGCCAGGACAAACCCAAGCCCACAGGAGCATTTCCAATTTCAAAGCTGAGAAATTAAAGTGAGTTTGTCTGGTGGATTCCAACACACAAAGGAAGCCAAGCTCCTGAGGTTCAAAAGCCACCCACAATCTGCACACTAAAGGTGTAGGAAACCATCTCGGGATGGGCTTGGGACCAACAGCCACTACCTGCACCCACAAAAAAAGGGGCAAGGTGATGGTCCTGCTCTGCTGTGGCTCAACCCACGCTGAGAATACAGAAGCTGCTGCCAAAACTGGCCTCTCCCTGCCAACAAATCACCTTTGTTCAGCAAATTATGGCCCATCAGAAGGATGTCTTCATTTGGTGGGGACATGATCAGCAGAGTGTATTGGAAGCCCAAAAAAAAGCCAGAGGGAGATGTTGAACCTGCAGAGTTAGGTAGGAAAAGCACCATGTAGAATCATGGAATGGTTTGGGTTGGGAAGGACCTTAAAGATCATCTAGATTCAACCCCCTGCATGGGCAGGGACACCTCCCAGGAGCCCAGGCTGCTCCAAGCCCCATCCAACCTGCCCTTCAACACTGCCAGGGATGGGGCAGCCACAGCTTCCCTGGGCAACCTGGGCCAGGCTCTCACCACCCTCACAGCAAAGAATTCCCTCCCAATGTCCAACCAAAATCTCCCCTCTTCCAGTTTTAATCCATCCCCCTCATCCCATCCCTCCCTGCCCTTGTCCCAAGTCCCTCCCCAGCTTTCCTGGAGCCCCTTCAGGCACTGGAAGCTGCTCTAAGGTCTCCCTGGAGCCTTCTCTTCTCCAGGCTGAACACCCCAACTCTCCCAGCCTGTCTCCAGAGCAGAGCTGCTCCAGCCCTCTGATCACCTTTGCTGGTGACCAGTGCTGGTGTTTCCTGACTACTCTATCCCTGCAAAATCAAAGCATTTGCATCTGCAGAAGAACAAAAGGTTTTGTGGGGCTTTCACCCCGAGGAGCTTGTGCCACGTAAGGAGACACAAAAAGCAGCAGTAAAAAGCCAATTTCTTGTCAGATAGAAAAGAAAAATGGACCCAGCTGCCAGATGTCCCGGCAGAAGAGGCTTGTCCATCCTTGTCCAAGGATGGCTTGGACTTGCTGCAGTCTGCCTCTGATTTACAAAAGCCCCATCCCAGAGCTTTCCCTGTGGGAAGAGCTGGATGTCTGATTGCTGGTTTGAACCATGTAGCTCCCTGGGGGAGCAGCTGGTGAAGAACAGAGCTGGTGCTCTCCTTGCTAGCTCAGAGGGTGAAGTCTCTGCTGCCTCCAACTGCCCTATTCTCAGTCTGGATTTATTAGCCTGGATTTCAGCCTGTGAGAGACTTATAGACACCAAATCCCAATCCAGATTAAGGTCCTGATCTGGAGCCCTCAGCCATCCCAGCACCATCATCTATCCCAGTCAAGGGGCTGTCCAGGCTCTGGTTCATCACAAAAGGTCCATCTCAAACTTGCATGACTGTGTGAAATCCCCAGATCTTCCCCCTTGGATGGGAAGGGAAACCAGAGAAGGACAAAACAACATCTCCTGCTGCTTCCCAGGCCAGCCAGGAATTTTCCGCAGTGATCTGCAGATCTGCCTGAAAGCTCTTCCCTTGCCAGCAGTTTGTGAGGTTTCACAAAAGGAAGATCATCAAATTCCAGAGTGGTTTGGGTTGGAAGGACCTTTAAGATCATCTAGTTCCAACCCCTCTGCATGGGCAGGGACACCTCCCACCAGCCCAGGTTGCTCCAAGCCCCATCCAACCTGCCCTTCAACATTGCCAGGGATGGGGCAGCCACAGCTTCCCTGGGCAACCTGGGCCAGGGTCTCACCACCCTCACAGCAAAGAATTTCCACTTCATATCCAACCTCAATCTCCCCTCTTCCACTTTAAATCCATTCCCCCTTGTCCTCTCACTCCCTGTCCTTGTTCAAAGTCCCTCCCCAGCTTTCCTGGAGCCCCTTCAGGCACTGGAAGCTGCTCTAAGGTCTCCCTGGAGCCTTCTCTTCTCCAGGCTGAACACTCCAACTCTCCCAACCCGCCTCCAGATTCTCCAGGGAGACAAACCCTTTGCAGGAACACCCATCTGCTGCCTGCAGAACAGTTCTCATGTAGTGGGGAAATAACACCCATGCACCACTGCCAAAGGGTCTTGGCAAGGTGGGAGGATCCACAACCAAACCACAGCAGCTCCCCTGATGTTTCTATACAGACAAGGTTCCCCTGCGCTCATGGTGTTGAATTTCCACCCTACGATGACACAACTTGGGGTACAAACCCAGTCAAACCCGTGGTGTCCCACCCCAGCTCTGGTTTCTCACAACCTTCCTGCACTGGAGGCAGAAGTCCCTGCGGGCAGGCAAGTCACCTCCCAGCTTCTGCAATGTCACAGTCATTCTTTCTTCTTTTCGGTAGGGAAACTCATACATGCCCCGACTCGGAGCCCGATACAAGGAGCGGCGCTGCCCTCTGAACCCCGTGCAACAGGATGACTGAGTCACCTTGTGCTAATGCTCCTCAAAAATGTCCTTACCCAGCGAGTTGAGCAAACAGAGCTGAGATAAGAGCAGCAGAACCCGCCAGCTTTGCCCCTGGAGCTCTTCAGAGCTGCAAACCAGGAGCGCTGCAAGTCACGCACCTTGGGGCCGCAGGGGGTTTTGATGGGGTCGAGCTTGAGTGCTTCTCAGGGGCATCACTCTGAGGTGCTCCAAACATCCCTCCAAGGTGCCTCCACCACCACTCCGAGGTGCCTCAACCATTGCTCCAAGGTGCCTCCAACACCCCTCTGAGGTACCTCTCCCAAGGTGCCTCAATCATCCCCCTGAGGGGCCTCAACCACCCCTCTGACAGCCTTGACCATCCCTCCCAGATGCCTCAACCACTGCTCCAAGGTGTCTCTCTAAGGTGCCTCAACCATCCCTCCGAGGTGCCAAGAGTTCCTCACACCTCTTCCCCCATTGCAGTTATCTCACCTGCTTTTTGGGAAACACCAATTTAGCCCTGCAGGAAAAGGGGTGTCCCTGGTGCAGAAGCTGCTTTTCCCTCCCGGTGGGTGGAATCCAAACACCAGGCAGAAACCCACTCCCCTCAGCTTCAATACTTGGGGTTGTTCCCCCCCCCCTTGAGCAATACCAAACCCTGCAGGTTTGCCCGCGATTTGAGTAACAGTCTGACACCCTCCACAAAACACCTCCCGTGCTAATTAAAGAGCTCAAGGCTCGGAAGAGGAAGGGTTGATCATCTCCTGCAACTTGTCTTCCCTCCAGGAGGCAAACGGGAGCTGGAAATTGCTGGATCAGGCGACACGACGCCATAATGAGCAGCTAATTGCAGGGGAGGGAGGGAGGGATGTGTGGGTTGCTGGAGGAGAGTGCCCAGCTCTGCTGAGCTCGGTGATTTTCATGGAATCACAGAGTGATGGGGGTTGGAAGGGACCTCTAGAGATCATAAAATCCAACCCCCCTGCCAGAGCAGAGTCACCCAGAGCAGGATGCACAGGCTGGTGTCCAGGTGGGTTTGGAATGTCTCCAGGGATGGAAACTCCACAACTTCCCTGGGCAGCCTGTCCCAGGGCTCTGCCACCCTCGGAGTCAAGAAGTATTTTTTTATGCTTAGGTTAAACCTCCTGTGCTCCAGTTTGTGCCCATTGCCCCTTGTCCTGTCACTGGACACCCCTGAGAAGAGTCTGGTCCCCCCCTCCTGACATCCACCCTTAGAATATGGATCAGCATTGATAAGAAGCCTCAGGCTTCTCTTCTCCAGTGTACAAAGACCCAAGTCCTCAGCCTTAGAATCATGGAACGGTTTGGGTTGGAAGAGACGTTAAAGATCATCTAGATCCAACCCCCCTGCATGGGCAGGGACACCTCCCACCAGACCAGGTTGCTCCAAGCCCCATCCAACCTGCCCTTCAACACTGCCAGGGATGGGGCAGCCACAACCTCCCTGGGCAGTCTGTCCTCCTAAGAGATGTTCCAGTCCCCTCCTCATCTTCATAGCTTTTTGCTGTCCCCTCTCCAACAGTTCCCTGCCCTCCATGAACCAACTTCCCCTCAAGTTCCTTTGCCACAGCAGGAGGGAGGTGGCTGAGGCGCCGCAGACGTCGGAGAAGCCCAATGCAAAATCCCTGGTGCGTCAGGAAAAGGGCTGCTGTGTAATTTGGTGAGATTACAGCTACCACCAGGGCTAAAAAAGAAAACAAACCTCAACCATCCCTTCAAGGTCCCCATCCCAGGGGCAGAGCCAGGAAAGTCAACTCACAAAGCTCAGCGTCGGGAAGAGCCGGTCGCAAAATTGTTCCGGTAAATCCAGCGCTTAACGCCAACCTTGTTAAATATTTCATGTCAGGAATAAATATTCCTGGACTGTGGACAAGCCTGAGCTAGTGCTTCATCATCCCACGTGCCTACCAGATTTAAGGAGTTTTTCCAGCTGTTGTTTTTCTGGAATAAAATCAGGTGGGGAGCTTCTAAAGAGTCTTTGAAAGCACATGGTGGGAAGGGAATATTGTGGATTCCATCTTACAAGTGTAATCCTGGTGGGCAGGGTCCTAAAGGTAAAGGCTTAAAGAAGGAAAAGCTGGAGCTGGGATATGTGCTGGCTGGCTGGGAATGCCTTGGAAGGAGCTCTTGCCGATAGATGTCAGCACAGGCTGCCCCAAGCCTCCCAGCAGGACCTTCCCCAAGGCTCCTCCAAGCTCCTTCCCGCTGACAAGACTTCTCTGGGGGTTTTATTTCACTGCCCCCCAAGGTGAGCAGATCTCCTGAGGAGGGAAGGCTTTGCCACGGACCCCAGAGGAGTAAGGAAGAACTTGACATAAAATGCCTGGGGGAGCTTGTGGTCAGAGAAAGCTCCATCACACCTTGGTGCCTCCTGGAGGGCAGCGCTGGGGATGACAGCACCAGCCCCAGGCAGGAGCTAGTTCAGGGTGTCAGCTTCTCTCTGTTGCAACGAATTCGTTGTGTCAGAGACAACACCAATGTAAACAACCAGGATGGGCGGCTTGGGGAGCCCGTTTGCATATTTTAAAGCCTTCTTTCCTGAAAAGGAAATCAAAAGAGAAGGTTTCACAGATGTCTTGGCTGCTCTCAGGGCCTCCTGCCAGCTCACAAATACCTCAGCTCCACTCAGCCAGACCTGCACCAGCAGAGCCACAGGAAATGACAACTCTCCACAAAATCAAGTGTCAGGAAAAAGTCACAGCCCTGAATGGAGAAAAAAAAACCCCCAAACAATCCTTGCAGGAAAGAAAAAAAAAGCTCGTGGAAAATCAACCCTGAGTTCTGGACAGGGAAGCACTGGTTTGAAAGATTACAGGCCTGTGCTTTGGAGATTATTGAAAAGGAAACTGTTCTCCAAGCAGGAAAGGAAGGAATGCTGCAGGAGAGATGTCTACTCCTCATTTCACCAGCAGGTGCTCAAAATCTCACCCGAATCTCAGACACATGAGACATTCAAGTTCCCAGCCTCATGAGGAGCTCTGCTCAGCACCACCACACAAGCACGGAATTGCTGTGGCTGGAAAAGACCTCTGAGATCATCAAGTCCAACCTATGACCAACACCACCACATCTCCAGACTATGGCACTAAGTACCACACCCAGCCTCGCCTTCAGCACCTCCAGGGATGGTGCCTCCACCACCTCCCTGGGCAGCCCATTCCAATGTCTGATCACTGTTTCCATGAGGAAGTGCTTCCTGATATCCAATCTAAACCTCCTGGAGCAGCTTCAGAATGTGCTCTCTCGTCCTGTCACTGGTTGCCTGGCAGAAGAGCCCAAACCCCACCTGACTACAACCTCCCTTCAGGTGGTTGTAGGGAGTGAGAAGGTCCCCCCGTGAGTCTCCTCCAGGCTCAACAACCCCTACATCTCCCCTTTCAACTCAATCCAGGCCAATGGCATCTGAAGAAGGGCTGCCCCATGCAGAGACAGAAGAGCTTCTAGGGAGATAAACTGATTTAAAACTATGAATAAATTGCTCTCCCCCTCATAATCCAGGAGACAAGAGTGTTACCAAAGTCCTGATCAAGGTTCTTGCCTTATGAGACATGCAGGTTCAGTGGTTTTAACCATGGCCAGGTCGCCAGCTCCCACAACCCCCCAGCAGCTCCTGCCCAGCTGGGAGTTCCCTTTTAACCATGAGTGAGAAGGGGTGGCAGCCAGTGAGCTGTGGAGTGCAACAGGGAAGGGAAAAGAAAACCAGGTTCCCTCTTCCAGGGCTGTCTTGATCCTAGCCTCCACAGAGATCCATCTCCTCCCTGTCAGGGATCTCAATGGAAGAGATCCAGCATCCTATGGATTAAACCAACCTGTGGGCTCAAGGATGAATAGATGCATGTGGGAGATGGGGGGTTGGAACTAGATGATCTTTAAGGTGCCTTCCAACCCAAACCATTCCATGATTTTATGATCTCTTGACTCCATTTCTGTACCAACATCCAGATGTTCAGCACTTCCCTCGCCCTAAAGGGAATCTCAAGTCCCTGGAGCTGTGCTGAGGCAGGAGGAAAACCAGATCATGGCTTAAAACACCCATTTCCCATTGAGCCACCTCTCTCCCAGACTCCTTTGTTGCATTTTCCCCTCCAACATACTCCAACCATGCCAGACCAAGCTGCCCGAGTGGGACAGGAGGACATCCAAGGGATGAGGCACCTTTCCCTGTGGAAGCACTGTGGTTGGAGAGACGTGCCTCGCCAACCTGCTGAGGGGAGCAGACAAACCCTTGCCTTTGAGGAGCCAATTTCCCACAGCAGGGACTGGTTATCCCCCCACTAGGGATTGGTTTTTCCCACAAGTTTCACCTGCAGATAAAAAATTGCTGAACTTCTAACAGCGGTGGTGCACGGAGAGCAGGGGATGGGAGAGAGAAACCACCAGTTGCTTTGGCCTGCTGGTGTGAAACCATCTTTGCCAAGGCTCAGCACCACCAGGACAGCTCAATTAAGATGCACCTCAAGCCCTGGGCTTGTTCCCACCTCTGGGTTGGCTTCTTCAAAGCAATTCCCACCCACCTCTGGGGCCACATTCGCCAGAGAGGCGACGGCAGCAGCATCCTGGTGTGTCTGTGGACAAGGTGAGGACAAGTCACACCTTATTTTAATTGCCCAACAAACTTGGCCACTTGCTCTCAAGCTGTAAGAGAAGAATGAGGTTCTGGAGTGACTTAATGACCTCCGTGGATATTGGGAGCAACTGGAAATGCCATGGGAAGTCAGCTGGGGCAGACAGCAGTAAGGCAGGATCAGGGAGGGATGGAAAAAGGCTCTCGGAGAGATGGTTTTCAGATGTGGTGCTCAAATATAGGAGGCACAGGAATATTCTATGCCCTGGTAGCAGGAGGTAAAAGTTCAACCTGCTGCCATGGGCAGGGACACCTCCCACTTAGACCAGGTTGCTTAAGCCCCATCCAACCTGCCCTTGAACACTTCCAGGGATGGGGCTTCCACAACCTCCCTAGACAACCTGTTCCAGTCTCTCACCACCCTTACACTTAAGAATTTATTCCTCATATGTAAACTTAATCTCCCCTCTTTCAGTTTTAATTTATTCCCCCTTGTCCTCTCACTACAAGCCCTTGTCCCAAGTCCCTCCCCAGCTTTCCTGGAGCCCCTTCAGGTATTCAAAGGTGCTATGAGGTGATAGATCCAGAAGAAAAACTTCCAGAGGTTACACACCAACAGCCAGGGAGGCCATAGGAAGAGAAGGACAGGGCCTGGCAAACGAAAGGGTGGGTAGATGTGTGTTGTAAACATAAATTCACTGAGATTAGGCACCTAATCATCACCACAGAGCAACCCTAAAGAACCCAAAGAGCGATGGCTTCACCCCCTGGAACTCAGCTCTCCACGCACAAGCAGCATTTCCCAACGAGCTGTCCCAGCTTTTGGGGAGAAAAAAAAACAACCAACCACCAACCATGAAAACCTTCACCCCCTGCTCTTTTCATCTCCCTGCCCTTGAAATATTTCATATTTAATAACACAAATTTCATTAGAGACGTTTCTCAAAACCACCTAAGCAAGTAACAAATTAGCATCCTCGTCTGGCACCGAGGGACCGAAAGGCACCGAGAAACCCCCGAGGTCGGCGGAGCCGCAGCTCAGAGCTGGCTGAACAAGCTCTGGGCTTGTTCTCTGGAAGGGCACCAATGAAGTTCAAACTCTTTATGTTCAAGGCTGTTCCTTCCCTTTGGAGAGCAGGGTGTAGCTTGCTGCTTCCCCATGCCACAAACCCAGCTCCCTGCAAGGGGTTTTGCAACACAAAGGGTTTCAGGTTTGCAGGGCAGGCAGTTTTCAGCCCAGAGCAGCAGGATGGGATGACCCTGGTGTGCTCTGCAGCATTTCTGTAGGTACTCCTAGCTGGGTTTCTCTAGATACCAGGATTCTTCTTCAAAAGATGCATTTGGCCTGTTTATTTCTGCACCACAGCTTAAATTTCAGGATGGTTTCAAACTTCAGTGCTCCTCATCACTCCTAGTCTGATGGGACACCACCAGGTTGGAGGATATGGAAGAGGGGAGATTGAGGTTGGACATGAGGAGGGAATTCTTTGCTGTGAGGGTGGTGAGAGCCTGGCCCAGGTTGCCCAGGGAAGCTGTGGCTGCCCCATCCCTGGCAGTGTGGAAGGGCAGGTTGGATGGGGCTTGGAGCAGCCTGGGCTGGTGGGAGGTGTCCCTGCCCATGCAGGGGGTTGGGACTGGATGGTCTTTAAGGTCCCTTCCAACCCAAACCATTCCAGGATTCTATGACATGGCTAACACTTTGCTTCTGGTTACTCATCTCCTTCTAAACCTCCAAGCCCAATGAGGAGGGAAAAATCTTAATACATTTAGCTAGAGAAAACGATTCCAAGCAATCTGTGCTGGGACAGTGTCCATCTCAAAGGACAGCAGGAACAAAGCCCAGAAACTTGTGTTTTTGTTTCAGAAGGGCAGCAATGAGCTACGTGATAAGGGAGCTCCGGTCGGGCAGCAGACCCACCAGAATCAGGGCTGAGTTCCCAACGGGGTCAAGTCACCCCAGGCTTGAAGGCTCCGGGAGCATTTTGATCCTGGTGGGAAAGTCAGGGATTTTTCGATGATCATGCGGAAAATTTGAGCTCAGAGGAGGCAGAAAATACAGCCCATTGCTCTGAAACTCAAAGGGCAACAAGGAAGACCTGGGCTGGTGGGAGGTGTCCCTGCCCATGCAGGGGGTTGGGACTGGATGGTCTTTAAGGTCCCTTCCAACCCAAACCATTCCAGGATTCTATGACATGGCTAACACTTTGCTTCTGGTTACTCATCTCCTTCTAAACCTCCAAGCCCAATGAGGAGGGAAAAATCTTAATACATTTAGCTAGAGAAAACGATTCCAAGCAATCTGTGCTGGGACAGTGTCCATCTCAAAGGACAGCAGGAACAAAGCCCAGAAACTTGTGTTTTTGTTTCAGAAGGGCAGCAATGAGCTACGTGATAAGGGAGCTCCGGTCGGGCAGCAGACCCACCAGAATCAGGGCTGAGTTCCCAACGGGGTCAAGTCACCCCAGGCTTGAAGGCTCCGGGAGCATTTTGATCCTGGTGGGAAAGTCAGAGATTTTTCGATGATCATGCGGAAAATTTGAGCTCAGAGGAGGCAGAAAATACAGCCCATTGCTCTGAAACTCAAAGGGCAGCAAGGAAGAAACAAAGCAGATCAGGAAAAGAGCTGGAGAGAAGCTTCCCTCTCTTCCAGGCTTTGTTTGATGGACGTATCAGGAGGGATTTCCACCCATTTCATTAACCTGTTCTCCTTTGAAGTCTCAGCCACCAGCAGCTATGGTGGGAATTAGAGGCATCATTGTGTGTCAGGGATGAGCTTTTCATTCCTCTTCATTCCCAGCTGTGCCACGGCTCAGTGTCCCTAAATTTTTTAATAACCAGTGATGTCTCCTTCAATGACAAAGAGCCCTTTGACACCACAGACCAAGTTCAGTGCCACTTGGGTGCACAGAGGCCATTTTGCAGCCCCCCTCCCCCCCCCCCCATCCTCAAGTGGCCCTGGATCATGACACTACAGCCAGCACGGCAGTATTACTGACGCTCTTTTTCTTCTTGTTTTGTGCAGAGCTGATCTGATCGGGTCCTACCAAAGACATTAACGACGTCGAAAGTAGCCTACTTTAAGAGAAAATATGCAGAAGAAGAACATTTACATCAAGATTACCATGAGTATTGTCCAAAAGTGAGTAGCTCTCTCCTGAAAGACCCCATCTTCCCCCCCAGTTTCATTCCTTGATGTTAAAGACCTGTTTACTTGCTCTTTACTCCCCAGCACCTGATACTACCCGAGGACCGGACTTGTATTCTAAAACTTTCTCTCCAGAAGCTCCAATTCCTGGACGACCCCGAAGCCTATCTCCGTAGGTCTGTATTAATTAACAATCTGTTGAGGAAGATTCACCTAGAGACAGAGAGGGAGAGCTATGAATACTTTAAGGAGGCTCCGTGTTATAGGACTGCTTACTCTGACGCCCGAAAACGGCTGAAGCTGATGGTGCAGGAGTGCTGTTCCCAGTCTCTCTATTATGAAGAGCTGCGTTCGTATCGCATCGTGCCTTACTCTGCAGAGAGCGCCGTGTACGGGATGGGCTACAGCAGCAGCCACCTGGGCAGCCCCCCCCCCCCCCCCCCCATCCTCAAGTGGAAACAAGTTGGGTTAAATTTTTGAAAAGTCTGGTTTTCCAAACCTCCTGCTCCTGGTTTCCTTCCTTCCATCCATGGGAATGGGTTTGTTTTGCTAAGCAATGTCTTGCAAATGGTGTCCCAGGGACATGCAGCAGCCCCCAGGGTGAGGGGTGCTGAGGCAGAGAGGCCACTGGCATGGGCAGGTCAGGATTTTGGATGGTTTTTTAATCCCAGTCTTGAGTCTCAGCTGGTTCTTTGCTTTTCAGAATCATAGAAGCATTAAGGTTGGAAAAGAACTTTAGGATCATCAAGTCCAATCATCAACCCAACACACTGTGCCCACTAAACCATGTCCTGAAGTGCCACATCCACACGTTTCTTCAACACCTTCAGGGATGGAGACTCCACCCCTCCCCTGGGCAGCCTGGGCCAGGGCCTGACAATCCTTTCCAGAAAGAAATTGTTCCCAAGATCCAACCTAAACCTCCCCTGGCACAATTTGAGGCCGTTTCCTCTTGTCCCATCACTTGTTTCTGCGGAGCAGAGCCCGACCCCCCTGGCTCCAACCTCCTCTCAGCAGCTGCAGAGCCAGCAGGTCTCCCCTCACCTCCTTGTCTCCAGGCTGGACACCCCCAGCTCCCTCAGCTGCTCCTGCTCACACTTGTGCTCCAGAAAAACACTTGATCTCTTCAGAAAAAAAAAAGATGCAAAACCTATCCAAGGACTCAACTCAACAATCTGTACAATTTCAGGAGATCTTCAGACACAAAAGTCCAGTCCTTCACTGTGGTTCATGTCTCCTCTCAGCTCCATGAAGCTCCCAAGAGACCCCGAACAGGGAATCTCACCCTGGATTGGGACCAGCATTATGAAACTCCACCAAATGTTTTGAAAACTTGCCCCTGTTTTCTATGAGGAGATGATGAAACAGGGATTTTTTTTGCTCAGGGCAAGGTTTTTGCCCAGCTCCATCAAGGACAAACCACTCCATGGCTAACGGGCAGGTTTCTAGCTCCCTCTGCCCCAAGAGCCTCCCACCACATGGAACCACATCTGATACAACCACCTCAGGCAGGTGACAGCAGAGTCTCTCCCACCTCCTTTGAGTGTTACTTTTGTTGACACAACATCATCAAAGGCACCTTTCCCTCAGCTCACAACTTGAAACCTGATCCCCAAACTCCA